TTGTGTTTAGTTTACTAAATAGGTTGATGCTTCGTTTATGAATTAGCCCTTACCTTTATGAATAAAAGTATTATTTATCGGCTAACCGCTTAGCGGCTTCTAAAATAGTTTTATTCTTACGAGCCTCTTTTATTCCTTCTTCGACCGACAAACTTCCGGAAGGAATATTTTTGGTTATTTCGTAAATTTTTCGCTCTAATTGTTCTTGGGCCATCCGAAAATTTTTTATTTCTTTTTCTAGCATAATAATTATTAAAGATTTTATAACACTATTTCGTGGACAATTTTTTCTTTAATTAATTCTTGAGCCGTTTCCTCATTCTCAGCGGTAGCCATTTCAATCAACAACCTTTCTCAACTGCTAGGAAATCCCTTACTCAGCAGACGAAAACCACAAGCATAAATAAAGTTTCTTATTGTTAAGAGAGCAGTGCGTTTATTCCCATTAGTGAAAAGTTGTCGACGAGTTAATCTACACCCCAAATCAATTCACATATCTAACAATCCAACTTTTTCCAGATTTCATTTATAAAAAACCAAAGAACTAATCAAGCTGCGATAACTACCCTCTTTAACTTCTCGGTGATTTGGTACGCATCCTAATGATTGGGCCTCTTGAAAACTCTCAGCCACAATCTGGCATAAGTGGTCAAGTAAATCTTGGTTAATTTCTAACTGGACAAATTTGTAATTAAAAGGATTGCCATTATCTTCGTCTTTGTTTAATAGACCATTTGCTACTGCTCGCACAAAGAGAGATAGGTCCTTTTCTTTATTAACTAAAAAAACTCTTTTTTTCATAATTTTAAAAATATTTAAGCAATCGGCCGAAATTTCACCAAATTACTTAAATCACTATCCTTAATATACAAAGCCGTAGTAGAAATTTTACTGTGTCCTAATATTCGTTGTAAAATATTGAGGGGCATACCGGCTAAGGTATTATAGGTGGCAAAACATCTCCGTAAAGTATGAGGAGCTAATTCAGTGCGAGCCGGAATACGCAATTCTTTTTTTAACTGGTTAAGAAAATCAAAGAAACTTACCCGGTGTATTTGGTTAGGTTTTCAATTTCTTTTTTTTAGTTCCTGGCGAATTTCTTCACTCAAATAAACTCACCGGTCCTTACTCCCTTTTCCTCGTAATAAATATAAATGCTTATATTCTGGTTCAGGGTGAACTAGACTAAGATTAAAAGCAATAGCCTCGCTTACCCGCAAACCCACTTTTCAGCAGAGGAGAAATACACATTCTAAGATTTCTTTCTTCCGTTCTCCTTTCTTTTTGGGACGAGCTAGAGCGTAGTCTCAAACTTGCTGGACTAGTTGTTGGGTGGGAAGAATAGTTAAGGGTTTCTTTTTCCTCGCCTTTTTTAGTACGTTCATTTTGTTTAATTAGGTTAATTATAGGTTTTTCCCCAACTTCTGACACGTACCCGAACAAAAGTAAACATAATCAAAACAACCATACAAAACTTTTCCCGCTTCATCTTTTACCGGAATTTGTTGTCTAATAACCTTTTCTAACTTGGTATCTTTCTGACAAGTAGCACAACGGAATAATAAATTGGTATTTTTATTTCAGCCTCACTTTTGGCTAGAAGCGGGTTGAATTTCTTTCTTCTGTGTCTCAACATTAGGAAGTTTGACAAATGTCTCAACACGGCTAACCTTTAATGTCTCAACATTGTCTCTTGTTGTCTCAACAATTATTTCCGGTTCTTTTTTTGTCTCAACTAATAAATCTGTCTCAACTGTCTCAACATTTTCTTTTGTCTCAACAAATTTGGGTTCGCTTGTCTCAACAGGTTTTACTAGTTGTGTCTCAACGACGATTTTGTCCTGTCTCAACTTTTTCGAGAACCTTTTGGAACTCAAAACTTTTTTCTTTGGCTAAGCGTCGCAGTTCTTTCTTCCGAGTATTTAACTTAGCCTTATTCTCTTGGTAGTAGTTAGATAGATAGTCTTTGCGGTCTTCATCTGGCTTGAGTTTTTGTTGGGGAACAAGAGTATTATTTTCGGGGTTATTGGCTAGTACGTTCATTTTAGTTAAGTTGGTTTAATTTTATAACAATTTTGCCAATCTCTTCCTCATCATTTGTTAGTCCATTCATCTAAAAAGTCTCTTTCTTGGCTTTCTTTGGCTTGATAAAAGTGTTGTTGTTTAGTTAAGGTGATATGCTTATTAACTAAATCAATTACGTACTCTTGAGCCTTAGTTG